TGCGTCGGGTGAGGGCGGCACGGCAGGCAGCATGCGAGGCCCGCAGGCTGACCCCACGGAAAGGGTCGGGCCGGCCAAGGTGCCTGCAGCGGCGCAGACCCCACTGAGGTCATGAACCTGAGGGTCGGCACTGACTGCGGAGGCCTGGGCGACCGCGCGGGACTGACATGCGAAACAGGACTGCTCCGAGGGGCAGTGCGCCCGTGAGCAGCCCAGACCGCGGGGGGCCCAGGGTATGCCCTTGCTGGACACAGGCTAGGACCCACTGCACCACCAGGGGGGCGAGACCATCTGAACTGAACGGGTCGGGTCTGCCCTTGCTGCCCAGGGCCTGGGGGCTCACCAGGGACGTGGGGGTCCTCTAGGCCAGTAGGCACCTTCCACTGGTCCACCTGTAGCTTCAGGGCATTCACTTCATCAATGTCCCCAGGGACTCTGGAGCAAAGCAAGGATTTCAGGGGGGAGGAGCCTGGCTCCCCCAGTAAGGGTTGCTCAGCCTCTCTCCTCCCACTTGGCTTCCTTCCCACCCCATGCAGATGCATTCCTCTTTAGGGACACCGAAGCCCAAACTCACAAGCCTCAGGTTCCCCAGCTGTCTTCCTGGGGCTTGGGTAGGTGAGTCATGACAGCAAGGGACTGGCCAAGTACCACTGCCCATGGGATAAGGAGTGTCATCCCCAATCACACGTGAGGACCACCTGCTAGGGTTGCTGCCTTTCTCTGTCCTCATCTCAGACCCTGCTCATGGCTGGAGTCCAAGTGCTCCTTGGGCCCGGCGGCTATTTCTGCAGGGGCACTGACCCCAGCCAGCCCTCCTGCCTGGGCTTGGGCATGCTGCCATGCAGGGAGATGACCCTGCTGCCCTGCCTCCTAAGGATGGCCCCTGCCCTGCATCCGCTGGCCACACAGTGGCCTGGCCCTTCCACTTGCTCCAAGGTGCCTCTCCCAACCTGAATGCTGCTCTCTCTGGCTGCTCTGACGCCTGGTGCCCCTTGGCCCATCTGCCCAAAATGTACAGTGGAGCCACTGAGGCCCCCACACCCGGGGCCCATTTTTTGGGCACCTGAAGATGCCTTCCGTCTGATCACCGTTGAGTGCTAGCACCTCCTCAGACAGGCGTGTCTGTACCCAGGGCAGCTGCCGCTCAGGGTAGCGCTCCTTCTGCATGCTCATGACCTCTTGCAGAGCACTGCCAAACATGGATGGGCTGAACACAGCGTTCTTGGCATGCCGGATCTCCTCCACGTTGGGCTTCTTCAGCCCCTGCAAAGACAGCCCCACTCTGTCCTGCCAGGCCTAGTTCCCAGCCTCCACCCCCAGGGCTGCCCTTGGCTTGGCCGTCCCCTCCTCTGTCCTCGCATCCCCTTGAATTCCAGGTTTCTGCCCAGCCAGAGCTGGGGACACCCCTGACTCCCTGGCCAGAGTCACCAGGGGGCCTCCTGCTGGACCACCTACAGCATCTAGAAGCTTTGCGTGGGTCCAGAGGGGCCAGGCAGGCAGTTATGGGCCACATCAGATCACACTGAGGTGGGGGGGTGGTGCAGAGGAGCAGCCTGGGTGGATGCAGGCAGTGGCTTCTGAAGTCTGACTGTGGTGGGGCTGGAGCAACACATTCAAAAAGGAGAGGAAGTGGAAAGGCGAGAGCAGGCTCTGGGACAGTGGACGCAGCTGCCCTCAACAGAGGTGGGCAAAGTCGGATGCAGGAGGGCCTGAGGGCTTCCTGGGGGCGTAGTGGGTTGAAAGGGACGGGGGAGAGGGGTGCAGATACTGCACCCACCAGGCAAACAAGAGGGGAGGATGGCTTCAGGTCCCAACAGTCCAGGGAACAGGGCCCAGCTGTGTGGTGTGAGGAAGGCCTCCTGTCCTCTACAGAAGCCACAGAGGATGGGCTGGGCTGTGGGAAGGGGTGTGGCTGCCAAGCTCCGCCAGGTGGTAGGAGGTCCCCACTACAGCAGATACCAGGAAGCAGTAGTGGAGGGTGCTGCTGGAGCCACCTGCCTGTGTGCCCACATGGGACGGGCTCACCTGTCTGTGGGGTGGGGCCATCCTTGGCAGAAGCCCTTTGATAAGTCTGGGCTCTCAGACCTCCATGGCTGGTGGGTGGCCTGATATGAGCAATGGAGCATGGGGAAGCCTTCTGAGCCCACCTGCCAGGAGGGTCTCCTCAGGGAGGGGTGGCCCCTTGGTCTGCCCTTTGAACCCAGCCACATCAGCCAAATGGTGGCAAGCCTGGGGCAGCTGGTGTTGCTGCCACTCTCACTAGGGTTGGTGGCCTGATGCCGTGGGCCAGCAACACACCCCTTTGCATTGGCTCCTGAGCTGGGGTTGCACCCCTGCCTGAGGCCTTCCCTGGCTGCCTGCCCAAGTGGGCTCTCCACAGCACCTTCTACACTGTAGGTGTCACTGCCCCCCATGTGTATACTGCCCTTGGGTACCCTTGTCTAAGAGTCTCTGGCACAGCCCACCCACCCCTGCCCAGCTGTCCTGGGAGATGCTTGTACCTTCTTGGCCCCAGTCAGGGCTGCCTTCTGCAGCTTGTGGTAACAGTACTTGGCATATGTGCTTATCGCCACCCCTGGAAAAGAATGGATGCTGGTCGGCTTGGTGTGGATATGTGGGGCGCAGGGGCTGCAGGCCAGCCAGTGACTAAGAGAGGAAGCAGCAAAGAGGGGTGAGGAGAGGCAGCCCCTCCCAGAGCCCAGGGCATCCTGGCCAGGCTCCTGCCCACCCCTTGCCCAGGGCAGTGGGTCCTCATTCCTCAGGGCTGTCCTTCGGAGCAGAAATCCACATGGAGGAGCAGGGGGCACTTCTCTCACCTCCAGAAGAGCCAGGCTGGAGAAGGAACCCCTCTACCAGCCCACGCTCCTCCTGCCATGTCCAGGAAGGGCAGTTTGGGTATAAGGCCTGTTCCTCAGGAGCAGTCACAGACAGGGAGGGCCTAGGTTCCAGCATCTCCAAACTTCAGGCTCCATTTCCCAGCTGGCCCTGAGGAGCCATTTCTGCTTGCAGCAGGCTTGAAGGTACTTAGAACCCACTGCCTTGGGCCAGCACTAGAGGAGGGTTAGGCTGGCTGGACACCAGGCCCAGCTCACCTGCAACCCTTCCCCTCACTGGGGACCCTGGGCAGCCCTGGGAGAGGGCTTTGGACCCCAGGACCCCAGGGTTGAGGACTGCCTGCGTGGGGGTCAGGAGGAGGCCCACAGTGAAAAGGGGACAAGTGCGAAGGGGATGATGCCCTGTGTCCGGAGCCTGGGTATTGCTGGGAGGAAAACGCCCTGGAAGGACTACCTTTGGAGGTCTGCAGGCTGTCTACAACTTCACCCCTGGCAGCACAACTTCTCACTGGGGGGTGTGGAGGGGGGTTGGGCCAGCATTCTGAGGGCAAGGACTTCAGGGACCTTGGCCAGGGGCTTTCCAGATACAGAGATGGAGGGAGGGGGCGGTGGGAGAGGGGATGAGACCCTGCTTAGGTTGGACCGGAACATATGAAGCATCTTTCCTGGCCCAGGGAGGGAAGAGAAGGGGAAGTAGCAGTGGGACAGAGAACACACAGTGAGGCCAAGCCCAGACCAAGGGACAGACAGACAGATGGACTGGACTGGACTCTGCTCTGCTGGGCCTGCCTGCTTGCCCAGGGAGGCCTCTAGACCCAAGTCTCAAATCCAAGTGTCTGAGTCTTTTAAAGGAATCAGTTTCTTATAGACATGGGGGGGGGGTCCTTGGAGCCCACTGTGAAAAACACAAACAGCCCTGGCCAGTGTGGCTCAGTTGGTGGGGTGTCATCCTGTGCCCTGAAAGGTTACTGTTCGGTTCCTGGTCGGGGCACATGCCCGGGTTGTGGGCTCGATCCTGGGCAGGGGGTGAACAGGAGGCAGCTGATCAGATTTGCTCTCACATCAATGTTTCTTTCTCCCTCTTCCCCTCTCTCTAAAAATCAATAAAATACATTTTAAAAACACACAGTATGTCTTAGTAATGAAAACCTTTTCATTTCTAATTTTCACAAGAATTTTGTCATTATAACTGGCAAGGGGATCCTTTTTTAGACTAATAAAAATAAAAACAAACATTTCTCATAGATGTTTATACCCTGGAGAATCTGTGTCAGGTCCCTGGGATCCACAGGCCACTGGCAAAGAATCCTAGCTGCTGCCTCTGATCAGCCAGCTGGGACATGGCACGTGGAACCTTCTGCTACAGGCTGATGTGGCCCTTCTGGGTGACCTCCTGATTTAGGAGAACGGACGGTGCTTAAGCAATGGGACTCAGGCTGAGCTCTGAGCACTTGGAGCCCAGGGAGAACTTTGCAGCAAGAACTCACTGTCCCTCACACTGGGGGCAGGCCTACCTCAGGTGAGTGCCTCCTGTCCCTAGTCTTGGGGACTGTGGGGGAGACATGCCCTGACCTTTACCCTAGGGCTTCCTGGGGCTCCACCCAGCCTCTCCAACAGGCTGTGATCTAAAGATCCAGTGGCTGCCACCTCTCAGCTGGTGATGGTGGCAGATGCAGCCTTTCTGGGCCTCCTCTGTAAGACAGGACAGGACAGGACAGGAACCACACCTGTCTCACAGGAGCCATTGATGGCTGACCTTGGAGGCTGGTGTCACAGATTTTTGGGTGGACCAGAGACTGAGGCCATGTGTGCCCAGATCCCTCTGCACTGTATGCTGCCGTGGGCACAGCTCCCTAGGCCAGGACAGTGGGGTGTTTTCTGAGTGGCTGGGGGGTCGGCCGTGCCCATGGGCAGCCTAGGGATACCCGTGCAGTGGTTGGGTGCTCTGCTACAAGCCCACTGCCTGACCTGGCCTTGCCAGGGCACACCCTCCTGTTTCACAGGTACGGTGACAAGCCCACAGAAGGACCAAAAGAAACAGCTCTCCCTGAGTCTATGCTGCTGTGCCAGGGTGCAGACCCTTCTCCCCACCTAGCACCACCTCAGGCTGCAATGTGCTGCTCAGCAGCTCCAGGCCCATAAGGACATGCTCGCTGGGCCCCCAGCTCTGCCTGGCTGCTGCAACTGACTCTTAAGAAGTGGGATCAGGATTCTTGAACAAGATGGCGGTCTAGGTAACCCCAGTCCCCGCCGCCTCCCACAACCACATCAAAATTACAACTAAAATACAGAACAACTATCACTTAGAACCTCCTGAAATCTAGCTGAACAGAAGCCCTACAAGCAGGGAGCTGAAAAAGAATTGAGGCCGGTAGGAGGGGCGCAGACGCGGGCGGATCGGGGCTGAATCGCAGAGACGCGACTGCGGCCCACACCCGGTGCTGCGGTTTAAACCCAGGAGGGCATCTCGGGGATGAAGGTTTCCTGGAGGAGTGGGGGTCCCAGCCCCACATCAGGCCCCCAGCCCAGGGCTCCAGGGCCAGGAAGAGACGTCCCCACACCTTCGGGCTGTGAAACCAGCGGGGACTGTCTCTGAGGGTCGCGGAGGCTGCGGAAGCCCCAGCAGCTCCTCCTAAAGGGCCCCAGGCCCGGACTCACTCGGACGCTCCCTCTGAGCCCAGCGCCGGGCAGCAGCTTGAAAGGACCCGGGACACTCGGGGAGGAACTAACCTGCCTGAGATCCAGGTGAGAGGCGGAGGGCGGCTTCCTCCCAGGCAGAAGGGCTGACGGAGGCCAGGGCGCCTTTGGCGAGTCCTCCCCGCACACAGCCAGCAGGCAGGCGCCATATTTGAATCGCCAGCACCTGACTCACACCTTTGGCCCCGCCCCGTGATTCCCAGAGGCCCCGCCCCTCCCCACCTGCAGCTCATCCAGGCAGTTTCCAGGGGCTTTTCTGTGCAAGTGGCCTCTCTAGCCTCATGCTTAGGGCTTTTCCCAAATCTCTCAAACAAGCAGCAGCGGGCCCCATACGGCTTGATAAGCGGCCCCAGGCCTGGCACTAGCGGCAGCCTGCACTGGCCTCTCCTGGACACCACCAAGCCCAGCACAAGTAGCAGCCATCTACTGTTTGCTGTGTAGCTCATGCTGGGTGGCCCTGGGCAAGGCAGAGGCAGAGGCTGACTCTGTACCTCCCAGGAGGCCCCAGAGACAGTGCACCCAGTGGTCCANGGGCCCTGGGCCAGGCACTGGCAGAGGCTGACTTTGTACCTCCTGGGAGTCCCTAGAGACAGTGCACCTGGTGGTCAGACCCGACCACGCTGGATTACAACCCTACCAC